CCTGCAGGTGAGGTACCCGTCCAGTGCTAAAACTGGGACATGCTGTCATGTCTGCCATGAATGCCCCATCTCCAAGCCAGGCAGAGATGGGGGCCCCCGGCTGCCACCAAGGTTGGGCTTGGTCCCATCCAAAGAGCCAGTGCTCTGGGAGGGAAGGGACCCGCGCCGCTGCCCACGGCCAGGGAACAGGACATGTCTCCTTCCAGAGAGGTTTCTTGCACCAAGATGGGGCTGAGCTCCCTGCCTGGCACCCCCTGCACTGCCTGCACTGCCCCCGGTGCAGCAGGGGATGCCTGCATTTGCGGGGAAGGAGATTCTGGATTTGGATGGAGCCAATGGGGGGGATTTTTCCCCCAGGCTGGGAAGATCCCACATGGGGCTGGGAAGCATGGGAGCAGCCTGGCACGGGGAGCAGAGCCCAGCTGCTGTGAAAAGCCCAGCAGGGTCAAACATCCAATGTAGGGGGGTCCTGGCCAGCACAGACCCCTGGAGGACCTGAATGGGACGGGGACAGGGCTATGGCAGGCGTGCTGTACCCCCGGGTGTCCCGCGCCCAGTGCCTTGTGTACCCCTCTCCCTCTGGGCTCACAGGGTCTCGCCTGTGCTTCATGGAGCACAGACAGACATTTGGTTTCTGTTAAAAAGGCCCAGAGGAGCCAAAAGCCACGAATGCAGCTGGGGGTGCGAAACCATGAGCTCTGCTGGTGTGGCACATCCCATCCCCGGCCGCCGCATCCCGCTTCCCACGCTGCTCGGTTTAGCTCAAATAAATGGATGAGCGAGCGGCTGCGGGCACCGGGACCAGGATTGGCCTGGGGTCCCCAGCCTCCAGGGGCTCCAGGACACCTATGTCCCTCCAACCCCCCATCAGCTCCCACAGCGAAAACCTGCGGCTGGGGTAGAAACCCCGAGCTGGGGCGGTGGGCGCGGGGGCTGCCCTGCTTGCCGTGCTCACTCCTGCAGGCTTTCCTGGCACGGCAACCACAGCACACATGTCTTTAGGAAAACAACAGGAGAGGTGGGTCACAGGGACTGGCAGGAGCCCCCAGACCCCGGGCGGTGTAGGGTTCCCAGTGGGATGGGGAGAGCGGCACCACTGAGCTGGCGATGGCTCCGATCATCCCCACCCCTGGCAAGCTGGACAAGAAGCGTTTTGCCCCCCCCTTTCCAATTAATCTCCCCCAGACTACAGGGATATTAACAGCTCAGCTCCAGCAGGCAGGGCGGGGAGGCTGGGAAGCACCGGGATGCTGTTCCCCCGGCTCTTTCCTGGCACGTGCCGTGAGCGATGCTCTGCGCGGCGGCGCTGGGCGTGTGGGCTGCCAGCTCCGTCTGGGCTCCAGCCCCATCCCCGCGCACCCTGCCGCTCGCCTGTTCTCCTAAAGATCACATGCAAACCCAAATTGCCCGTCTCCACCCGCCCCCACCGGTAAAATCAATTATCCGCCGCCGCTCGCCAGCCTGCGGCCTTTTATTGCTCGGCAGGGAGCGGGAGCGGGGCGACAGGGAGCGGTGGGAAGGTGGGGCGGGAGGTGGGATTGCTTTTGATAGTTGTTATTTTAGCGATTGGAGAGGTTTGGCAGGAAAGGCAACCTGGTACAAAGGTTGGGCTCAGCAGGGCTGGAGCGTGCCTGTGTGTGCGTGCAATGCCGCAGTGCCCAGCGGCGCGCTGGCGCGCTTTCAGTGCAACGAGCTGGCAGGCCTCGGGGTACAGGGGCAGAGGGGCTGCTTTGGAGCATCCCCTGCTCGTTTGCCTGCCAGGCCTCAGGACACCCCTGCACGTTGGCTCACACGTGTGCAAGCCGCAGCATCATCAGTCCCCATCCTGCCCGCAGGGTCCCCTGGGCTGTCCCTGCTGGTGCCACAGGTTTGGAGCTGGGGACACACACTCACACCTCCCCCCCACCCTTGCACCGCTCACCTGCACCCACATCTCTGGTGTTCGCACTGGCTTCTGCAAAGTGCTGCTGTGATTGCAAGGTCTAGAGCGTGCAAAGACACACACACGGACAAAAGTGAAGTGGGTGAGGGCTGCGTGGCAGCTGCAGCCACCCTGGTGGCCCTTGGGAACCAAGACCCCTGGTACATCCAGAGGGAGAGGAGGAAAGGTGCACAATGCCAGGGGTGTCCCCGTGGAGCACGGAAGGGCGAACTCTGCATTCACCCCCAGGTCTACCTGTGCCTGCCCCCTTCATTCCCCCAGGACAGAGGTGCCGGGAAGCTCACTGAGAGCCCTCCAGGTTTTCTCCAAGCCCCTTCCCCAGCCAGCACCCATCCCCATCCCCGTCCCCGTGCCTGTGGCTGCCCCTCGCCCCACAGGCACGTCGGGGCTGAGCCGTGCCCTTGCCCATGCCGAGCCCTTCATCTCTCCCTCTGGCTTCTTGTCTTCTCAGGGGCGCTTTCTCCATCGTCCGGAGATGCGTGAAGGTGTTGGCAGGACAAGAGTATGCGGCAAAGATCATCAACACCAAGAAGCTGTCTGCTCGAGGTAGATGCTGGGGGCGTTTTTGGGGAGGCGAGCAGGGTTTGCAGAGCATGGAATTTGTCCCCGCTGTGCGGCACTGGGATGATGCCCTTGATGTGCAGCTGGGTGGGGAGTGTTTGATGTGTGGGGGGAACCCCTTATCCCACCCTGTCTCCAATGCTGAGCTTTTTGATGGATGGGGTGAGCATCCCGAGGAGGTGGCTTGGTGGCTGCTCCCCGCATCCCATCCCTCCGCGGGGATGCACCTGCAGCTCAGCTGTGCCAGGGCTCTGGGGGCTCCTGGACCCCAACCCGCCTGGGGAGCCGTAGGACCCCATTTTTCTCCTCAAGACCCCACCACCGCCCTGCACTCCATGTCACAGCAAAATCATGGTTACAGCCTTGCAGCAAGTCAAGCTGCTGCTGGCCTCGGGTGTTGGGTAGCATGGTTATTTCGGGAGCATCACCTCTGCGAGAGGGTCCCCACTGACCCCCCGCTCCCTGCTTTCAGGGGCTGTGGATTTCCTTACTCATGTCCCTACACCAGTGAAATGGGAAGGTCCTTGGGGTGGGGGAGTGCTTTCATTCCTGGCTGAAGATGGGCCCTCACCCCTCGCTGCCATCTAATTAATCGTTCCGTTGGAGCACGCTGGCTGCTTTGCTGCTGGAAGAGGCACTGGGGGGTCTGTCCTGGCCGCTCCTCAGGGCAAGGCTGAGCTGAGCTGGCACTGAAAGCTTCAGCCAGCCTTTGCCCTGAGGCAGGGACCCCTCTGCCCCCAGGAATCTGGCAGAGGAGCTGTGATGGGGAGGATGGAGAGAACAGGACAACAGCTGCCGTGTCCCCAGCTCTGGCTCCTCCTGGCTGGGTGCATTGGGGAGCGCAGGATGGGTGCCGGGAGCGAGCACCCTGCTGGGAGGGTTTAATTAACTCCCTCCCTTGGTTTCTCTCCCTGACGCCACTGCTCACCTCCAAAGGCAAAATGAAATGCAGAAAACAGTGACAAACTCCTTTCTGACCTCAAATTAAACCAGTGCTTTGCAATCGCCGTCCCCCAGTGCTGCCAAAGTGGCACAGTGCTGACACTGAGCTCTCCCAGCTGCCCCCCGCTTTGGGGATGCAGACCATTCCCTTCCTCCGAGGCTGAAGGCTCCCAGTCTGGGGCAGCCGGCCGGGCTCTGGGCGGGGTGTGGGGTGCTGGCCTCGGCACTCGGCTCCTGCCTGCGCACCCCAGCTGGCAGCGGGGCGGGCAGCAAACGCCTCCCGATTTGCAGGGCTGCCTGGAGGAGCAGATTGAGCCGCCTTCCCTCCGCTCCCTCCTGCCTCCGCTCGCCTGCTCCGGCGGTTTGCCCCTCTCCATCCTCTTCTGGGGTGTGCACCGTCCCTGCAGCAGCTCACTCTGTCCCCTGGAGAGACCTCGCCAGGGTTATTGCCCCTGCTCTGCCAGCTGAAATCACCAGCTGCTTTTGCTAATGGTCTCAAAACCCCTATTTCTGCAGTGCTGGCATGGGAGATGGCATTTCCCCAGGCTGGGAGCAATTCCCAAAGGGACACCAGGAGCCACTGTCCCACGGGGATTTGCCACCGGCTGTGTCACAGACAAAGGGCAGGAGGGCAGGGAGGAGGGAGTCTGGGGGAAGGTGAGAGGAGCTGCAAAGCATCCCCATGGTCTCTTCAGACATCCTCCCGGCTGCCAGCACAGGGAGCCAGCAGGAGAGAAACTGGAGTTTTTGGAGTCAAAATGGGTTTTGGGTCCAGGCAGCAGCTGGGTTTGTGGGGCAGGATTGGGGCTGCAGCCGTGGCTCGCTGCGCCCAGCAGCACTTCACTGCGTGGTGGCGGTGCTGCGCCACACGGGTAGGAGAATGCTCTGACCCATGGCAGCCACCCCCCAAGCTCGGCAGGGTCCCTCTGCCTGAGGGACATCCCTCTGTCCCTTTGTCCTTCTGTCCTGCTGCTCTGGCAGAGCCGTCCCGCCTATGTGTCAAGCCGTGTCCCTGAGACCTGCGCAGTCAGGGGGGGTCCCCCGCCAGCCTGCATCCCATGCAGGGGTTGTGCCCACACGATGCTTGGAGGAAACCACAGACCTGGAGACCCAGCCCTGGGCTCTGCCCCCGTGCCCAGCCCCTCCTTGCTGAGCACTGACGGCGGCGAAGCTCTGCCTGAGCAGGAGCCAAGCAGCCTTGGAA